CATCCATCCATCCATCCATCTCTCCCATGAAGTAACAAAAGAAAAACTCATATTATGACCATTCTTAAAAACGCTAAAAAGATGTCACCCAAACTAGTAACTTCTTGAGGTCACGGAATGTCATATTACAACTATGAATTATTAAGTTTGGATTTAAATAGGGTGACATTTTGGTTTTTGTTTTCTTTTAATGGTAAGCCTAAGTTCAACGACAATTGGAACAGTAGCCAGCCTCTGGCTGATTCAGCCTTTCTTAACTAATAACTAATTTACAGAGTCTGTGTTGAACTTGTGAATGATTTATTTTCCTGTTCATAAAATTCCTTCACCCTTCTAGAAAAAAAAACAACACTAAACTAAAACCCTGAGCTCATATTGAGAACGGCTGTTAAAGAGTCTTTTCCATGACAATGTTGTCATGACGACGATGTTGAGCTACCAACAATCTGTGTTTGGGTACACTGGGCTTGCTAAGTTTTGAAGCTAAAGCATGAAACACACGCATGAAGCTGGATCGGGAAACTTACAAGGTAAAATACTTAATCTCTTGGTTAAAGTTTCTGACATTTAATCTTTCATTACATTACATATAGTGTAACTTTACTAAAATAACAACATTGCATTTCTGAGAAGCAAACTGCCAGAGAAGTCATGTTTGCTTCTCTGGTCTAGGAAACTGGGTGTTTTTAATGTCTTATCTGTTAAACATTTGTACTTCTTTTATTTGTAAATCTCTAAAATTACTATATTTGACTTTGCCTTTGTAAAAAATGATTTCAATCAAAGATTAAATAAATCTTTGCTGAAAATGTGACTGTTTAAAAGTGCTTTGTTTCATTAATATGGTTATCAAAAGAAAGAAGGGAAGCAAACGTATCAGAGCAAAAGAAAAAATGTAAATGAGACAAACATAAAACTTACAGATTTCTTTAACCATAAAAAAACTTTGCAAAGCAGGGAACAGCTTCTAAGACTGAAAGCTAAATTTACTATATATAAAAACATTTATTCTTCTTCATCCTGAGACTGTAAACATTATGAAACAATGTTTGTTTCTGACATATTTAATCTTTTTATACTTTTTAGTCACAGCGGATGTTTCAGATCATAAAATGAATTTCTAAGTCAGAAAAATATAACCTGATAGAGATTTTATATAACTATTTTCTTTATAAAAAAAACATAGAAACACATGGCCCTATGTAAAATTTATAATATATAAAGTTCTTCTTAATTGCCTAATCCTACTAGCCTGGGTGCCAGTCCGAACTTAG